GAGGTAGACAAAAAGATACAGATGACTCAATCTTTTTCCATATTTAACCATATCAAGTAAGATCTTTAATCATACAAGGTGTTGCCTGGCACCTGCTAGTTAGGTTCACAGAAATGACTTTGCCTTTCTGAACTTTTCTCTCCAGGGAAGCAAGTTAGCAGTGCTTGAGGTAGTCGTCTGAGGAGGCCCTTGAGTTCCAGCCACTATCTGCCCAGTCAGGGCTCCTTCTCCTCCCCACTTCTCTGAGGACATAGGTCTACTGGGGAGGGAAAGAAGGGCGTTTAAGCAGAGGCTCTTGGGGCCTCATTAGCAGTTGCTACCTAAACATTCCCAGAAGTTGCAAATGTGGAAATCTCCATGGGCAGATTTCCTTCAGCTCAATTAAGAGCAGTCTAAGTTTTGCTTTGATGCTAAATGAGTCTCAGTAGATTAGTTATGGAGATGCCTACAGCAACTCCCTTAAGTGACATACCCAAAGGGTTAGGAGCTGCTGGGTTTTATTAAACAAACGAGTGAAGGGGCAATGCCAGCAGGTAATGTTCCAAACATCCCTAGACAACCCAGCCACTCCAGCCCCAGCTCGTGCTGTATAACTCCAGAGCTATCTATTGCCATGCCAATGACCACAGGATTGATTTCCAGTAGTGGCAGATGCTAGGATGGTAATGAAACATTGCTTTGTTCTCAAGAAAATTGTTCTAAAGAGTGATGGTTACTGCAGTTGTGTGCTCTGTGTACACAATCTGAGAGGCATGCTGCAGAGGTGAGTAAGGGAGTCATGACAAACCCTAAATAGCAGTTGGGGGCTGCCAAGATGGCCCAGCCAGTAAAGGAGCCTGCTGTCAAACTTTACCATCTGAGTTGATCCCCAGAATCCACATGGAAGGAGAGCTATTCTCTGACCTCCACACCCATACCACTCTGCACACATCCTCCCACGCCACACACAAAACACCCAAATAAGTCAGTGTGAAATAGTTTAAGTGGTGATTATGCACTAATTCCTGAAGTAGTTGAGATTTGCAACAACACCAATTTTTTCCTTTCATACCCATTATCTGTCCGCAAAATTAAAATTCAGATAGGCTACAAGAGATAAACTTTAAAACAATAAAACATGGGATGATTTACCAATGCCCCAAGGTAGAGAAACAAATTGTAAAGCTCATATAAGAGAAGATTTTTAAAAACTGACAACACAGAATAAGAAACTTACCAATGACAGAAAATACCATAAACAGGATCCAGTGATCACAAGAACAAGGAGAAAACATCCCTGTCATGCCTGACAGTAAAGAACTAATGTGTAGATCCCCCCCAATACCAAAGCAAAGGTGAACCTACTACTTGTTGCAGAGAGAAAGGGGGAGAGAGAGGGAGGAAGTGAGGGAGGAGGGAGGAGAGAGGAAGAAGACTGTGGGGAATCTTTGAGGGTGTCTCAGTAAGAAGATGGGAAAAGAGTGTTTTGTACATAGGGCTTGTGCTAAGTGGGAATATAATAAAGACAGTCTATGATTGGATATATGAACTGTCATTTATGAGGTTGGGAATACCATGGAGCGAAAAACTAATGAACAAAACAGCAACAAGCCCTCATGTTAGCTGGGAGAGAGGGCCATTTGGTCATTTTTGTGAATTGTCCAGTGTTCCTGACTGCCTGTGCTCAAGGAGTATCTGTAATATAGATTTGAAATGATCCAAACATTTAGCCTGTTAACATGATGGTTTTGGCAGGGGATGTCCTCTTTCCCTTCAAAAATGTGGTATCAGATCCCACATTCTAAAACTAAGAATGATTTTCCCATTCTCTAAGTGATAGGACATCAAATGTTATCAGAACACTCACACATGAGTTAAGTGTCCTCCACTACTAGACTTCAGAACTCAAATTTGACCATTGCTTTAAAGTGGGAAATTACCAATACAGAGCCAAGTAGAAATATAAGGGTATTTAATAGGGAAAAGCCTTACTTACAGAGCGACCTAGCCAGCCAGCGCGGCAGCAGTCTGTACAAAAGGGGAAAACGAAAGTGAAAAGCAGCCCTGAACCTCTCAATCTACATCACCCTGACCACACCCTCGAAGGCTTGGTCAGGCAGACCTGTAGCCAGCCCCTAAGCAGGCATGGCTACAGGTTCCCCTACAATGCTTGAGAAGTGAGTGCTGTGGGATATTTCATCACACTGTGTGAAGGTGTGTTTCTGTCCTTCCTTGCCTGCCTAAGGTACCTTCTGATTGGTCTAATAAAGAGATGAACAGCCAATAGCTAGACAGAAGAGGATAGGTGGGATTTGCAGGCAGAAATAAAAACTCTGAGAAGGAATTTGAGGTGGGGGATTTGCCAGCAAGACTGTATGGAAGTCAGATGTACAGTATTGAGAAGAGATAATGAGTCAAATGGCAGAACATAGGTTAATAGAAACAAGTTCATTTTAGTTTGGGTTTGTTGTTGTTGTTTTTTTTTTTTTTTTGGTTTTTTGAGGCAGGCTTTCTCTGTGTAGCTTTGAAGACTATCCTGGCACTCAGTCTGTAGACCATGCTGGCCTCAAACTCTCAGAGATTCCCCCCTGCCTCTGCCTCCCAAATGCTGGGATTAAAGGTGGGCACCACCAACACCCAGCTGAGTTAATTTAAGTTTTAAGAGCTAGTTGGAAATAAGCCTAAACCAAGGCCAAGCTTTCAGAAGTGATGAAAAGTCTCCATGTCATTATTCAGGAGCTGGCAATACAAAGAAACCTGTTACACATGAGGATGTGGCCAGCACCTTCTTCAGAAACTGAGAACACAGGGTACAACAGCACCACACTCTGTCAATGCCTGGGAGTTTTATCATTTTGCTGGTAACACCAGTACCATTCTCCAGTATCAAAGGACCTCACATGCTGCCATGAATCTCAGTCGGGTAGCTTCTCCTGCCACAGTAGCTTCTCCAAGAGTCACATGTATAAAGTCTACCTCAATATTTTCACAGGAGCTTGATTCTATCCTAATTGAGTGATAGGACTAATAATTTTGCAACTCCCCTGTTCTGTGTTTAATGGACCTTGTCTATGGAGCAGATTCCCTGTGAAATTTGTTCACATTATTCTCCGTCTTTTAAGGTCTGTTACCTTACAGGAGATGAGGGAATCTTTTTATGGAAACTCATGAAATGACACACTGACATCTCCTAATTTCTACTGTGCATATAGTGCTCATGTTGTTGTATTGTTCCGTTACAATAACACATCAATCTTGTCTAAAGTTGGTGTTTTCTAAAACTGGCTAGATAAGCAATAGTCACAAGCACACCCCAACAAATAACCATCAATTTTCTTTCCCATCAAATGTGTAGAGTTCCTATGAGCAAATGGCCTGGTAAAGAATCAGAGAAGGGTGTGAATAACAATTGTATGATCCGATTTATGTCACTATAATGTAACAAATATTCAATAAAGCTTGGTGACTCTAAAGAAGAGGTTCATTCAGCCGACAGTCCTGAGGCTAAGGGGTGGCTGCAATGCTTGCTTGACTCAACCATGTTACTGAGGACGCTAAAGCAGTAAAACTCTGTCTGATGGGATTTCAATTATCCTGGCCTTTTGAAGGCAACTTGACTTGTCTATATTCTTCAGCCAGAGATTTCTAAACTTGTTCCCAAAGAACTACATGTGTAAGCAAATAGGGATGAAGGATGCCCACTACAGTATGCTTTCAATAATAAAAACCAAAACCCTTAAAAACTATCAAAGACAATAACTAAACCCTAGAATATGGGGCAGTGGCTTACTTAACTTTGTTGTTAATTGTAAAAATGTTTAACAGTCAAATTGTGTATCTATGTAAGATTACATTAGAAACTACTTATGCTATTTCATAAGGAAAATGGCATTTATAATTGCACATAATTGTTATTCCAAGTGTTTTGTTTGCTTTATTGAGTGTTTTTTGTTTTGTTTAGAACACTTGAAGGAAAAATATTTATAAAACACTCCTAAATACGAATGGTTTATTACATAGTGCAAATTCAGGGAACTCTTTCCTTGCCATTTCAGTATTTCCATTCTCTCCTTAATAAATATGGAATTCTTTCAAAATCTTGGGGGGGGGTACTTCATCATAGTGAAGCTTCTGGTTTGGTTTTCAGTTGGCGGTTTAGCTTGAGGTGTGGACTACATCGTCTACATTGGAGTAGCACTCAGGGTTTAACATGTACCTATGTCACCTGACCAAAATCCAAGGTTTTTCTTTCCTAAAACTTATTACATGCATTGTACCTTTACATACCAAATTAAGCACAAAAAGGCATAGGATTGCAGAAATAATTACAGTTGTGGTAATTAAGAAGTGAAGGATCTAAGAACTTCAGTTTTGGAAAAGAGGAATTTTAGCAAGAACTTGAAATCAAAGTTTGTCTAGGCAGAGAAAGAAGCAGAGAGTGGATAGGCAATCCAAGAAAGCATTTTCTGGGGATTTGAAACCTAGTTAGTTCTGGCCCACCAGTCCACAGTAAGGAGGCCTCTGACCTTCCCAGAGTGAGAATAAGAGTAGGAGAGACCAGAGTAGCACCTGCTTTTTCCTGCTCTGGCGAACCTTCCACTGCCCAACCAGGGAGACATGAGCCAAGAGCAGACGTGGCTGTGTGTGGGGCGGGGAGGGGCTGTTTCGGGGTCCCTTACTTTTTACAGACATCATTTTGTTTGCTTGGTGTGGATTGGGGGCAGCTCCTCTTTCCTTGTGTGGGTGCTAGCACAGCCCCTAGAAAGACAATGGGACTCCAGCAGGAACAGGCCCAGAACAAACCAAACCCCTGGAGGTGAGAGAACCACAGATGTTGAAGAATTGAGTTGGCACAGAGGTCAAAGAAGGTCAGGGGGAGGGTGGGCCGCGTCTGCCCTCCCACCAGGCCGGAGCGCGGGGGGCCAGGCCCCTCTTTGTGACGTGAGCACCCCAGAGCTTCACACTTGGTGAGGCCTCAGGCCAGACCAAAGCAGGTGGCCCCCGGACGGGGAAGCGGGCCCATGGCTGAGGCGGCCCAGCCCAGTGGGGAATCCCAAGGCGCAGAAGTTACGATCCAGATCCAGCAGCCGACAGAGAGAGCTCTGAGGACACAGGCCAGGCACAGCCCGCGGGTGCTCAGAGTGTCCCAGCTTCTGCTCAGGGCCATCGCAGGCCACCGGCGGCTGACTCTGGCAGCACTCAAGAAGGAGCTGGGAAACGCCGGCTACGAAGTGCGCCGAAAGATCAACCGCCACGCCGGGGAATCCACTAGGGCCGAGAAGGGCACGCTCCTGCGGGTCAGTGGCAGCGATGCAGCGGGTTACTTCAGGGTCTGGAAGGTTCCAAAGTCGAGGAGAAAGGTGGGACGGTCCCGGCTGTCGCTGGACCGCCGCTCTTCAAAGAAGACACTGCTCCGATCCCTCAGACCCCGCAGGCCTCGTTCACGTCGCAAGGCAGCCAAGAAGGCCAGAGAAGTCTGGAGACGCAATACTAGGGCTTCGAAGGCAAAGTCCAGGAGGGCCAGATCAAGGGCAGGGTCAAGCGCCAGGTCAAGCGCCAGGTCAAGCGCCAGGTCAAGCGCCAGGTCAAGCGCCAGGTCAAGGACCAGGTCAAGGACCAGGTCAAGGACCAGGTCAAAGGCCACGGACCAGGTGTGCACCAGGGCCAAAGAACAGGCTTGTGCCAGGGCCAGGGAACAGGCTGGTGCCAGGACAAGGGCACAGGTGTGTGCCAAGGGCAAGGAGCAGGAGTGTGCCAAGGCTAGGGAACAGGTTGGTGTCAGGACAAGGGCACAGGTGTGTGCCAAGGGCAAGGAGCAGGAGTGTGCCAAGGCTAGGGAACAGGTTGGTGTCAGGACAAGGGCACAGGTGTGTGCCAAGGGCAAGGAGCAGGAGTGTGCCAAGGCCAGGGAACAAGCACATACGGAATCCAGGGTCAGGGCAATGGATAATAGCAGAGTATGTCCTTCAAGGGAAGACCCCAGGCCTCAATCTAAAGATGAGAAGAGGCCAAACACAAAATCTAGGGACGAGAAGAGGCAGGAACCTGAGAGGCTGGTCAAACGAACCATCCAGAAGCCAGCTGTGACCAAAGTTGACAATGCTTCCAGTGGACAAGCAAAGGCACGCACAAAGTCTTCTAACAAATGTGAAGGTCCTGGGTGCACAGGGAATCCCTAATGCCAGAGCTCTTTCTCTGGGCACTGTTTCCTTTCCAGACAGGCTCCAAGGAGAGCAGTTCTCTTTCATTGAAGCTATTTACAAGACCTCCCTGTGTCTGCATTTCCTCTTGTGCGCCACTGGAAGGGCAAAGGTTGGGTGTTGAGGTGAGATCGATAGCGGGGGCTTGGAAGGGAGCAGGAATTGAGACTTTGCTATTCCCATGGGACCTTTCATACAGAAAGGAAATGGGAAGAGGAAAATCACCAGGGTTACACAAGAATGCTCGTTAAGGATGCTATCAAATCCTCAATGCGTTGAGAGGAGGGCAAGAGAAGAACAACCTTGATTGTCCTACTAATAGACATGGTTTTAAATTGATTTGGGGTAAAATTTCATTACAGTGAATTTGTAGCTTTTATCCTGAATTACAGTATCTGGGTTGAAAAACATAAAATCTTGGATGTGAATGGTAGGTTAGATGAGGTCATGGGTGAAAGCATTCTGCATGGGAATGGCACAGCATGGGTGTTCAGGGACAAGGGTTCAATGTCCATGAGTAGTTCCCGATGGGCTGCTGATGGACTAGATGGGGACCTAGGGAAATCAGGGTTCCAGTCCGTTCTGCTCTTGTGACCTTAAGCCATGCCATTTGCGTAAGCACCTGTGGTCTTGAATTAATTTCTCTGTAAAATATTGGGATTTTCACACAATGTCAGTAAAAATGGGACTAACCATCATAGTGTGGACTTTGCTTTAAGAAAATTCAGCGAAGGGGATTGACAGTTGGGAGAGCATTAACTCTTAGAGGGGAAACTGCTAATATTGACACACTTATGAGAAATGTACGCAAAAAGGCAGCCGGAAAAGGAACATTTCACTTGTGCACTTTTCTAGAACAAGTCTACACTGGGTACAGTGAGTCACATATTGAGCAATTGTTTAGTTCTGGATGCAAGGGTGAGGGTAGCAGGAGTCATCCTTATGCCACAGGCTGTGACTCTTAACTTCCTAGATAAGTTATTAAGGTGGACACAGACTGTCTGCTTCCAAGTAAAGCCAAATAAGTGGGAGAATGGATGATTTTGGGGATGTTTTTGTTCTTGAAAAGAGGTTATAGCAAGGAACTGGAGAGATGGCTCAGAGGTTAAGAGCACTGGCTGCACGTCCAGAGGTCCTGAGTTCAATTCCCAGCAACCACATGGTGGCTCACAACCATCTATAATGAGATCTGGTGCACTCTTCTTGCGTGCAGGCATACATTCAGGCAAAACACTATATACATAATAAATCTTTAAAAAAAAAAAAAAGAGGAGGTCATAGTGGACGTAGGAGCTTTTCCACGATGTATACCTAATCATGTTTTCCCCAAGAGAAACATTATCTTACAGAAGAGTCATGATAGGCATTTCAAGCAATGTGTATTTGTGGTGTGTAGTAAAGCTTGCTACTGCTCACTTTCTTGCACAGGAATAACCATTTTAACACCACTGAAGCCAATTAGAAAAAGCACTGGCAGTATGTCCCATGTGGATGTGACCTGAACTGTGAAATCACCCACACTCTGCAGTTCTGTGCAGTAGCAAATAGGAAATACCAACCCTGAACCTGTCTAGACAAAAACAAACAAACAAACAAAAACAAAAACAAAAACAAAATGATCAGTCCATTTATTTTCATTGGGAAACTGCCGGGGTCCGGCCCCCATGCTATATAGGCCATCTATTCCAGACTGATGTCTTTGGGGCTGCAATCGGAACCAGCCGAACAGCCTCGGGTCCATCCCTGAGAACGGGGAGTGTGGATGGGGGGGGGCTAGCTACCCAACAGCGTTAAAGATGAGACAGAGACATCTTGTCATCTCAGGAGGGCTCTCAGTCCATTTTGGAGACTCGAGTCCACTGTTTATTCAAGCATCCTCTTAAATAGCTTTCTAACAGTAGGGGTGATAGCAAAAGACATCTATTATAATGTATAAAGCTGATATCAAATATTTCCTTTAATCCTAGAGGTAGTCTTGGAACAAATGTATACAAGCCCCCTTGCATTCTACCAGGCAGTCTCACTAGTCCATTACTAGTTTCTAGGCATGTTCCACCAGCCCCATGACTGGTGCTCATCCACCCAGGGTCCAGGCCTATTGTTAAACTATGAACCATTCCCCACCAAGGCCAGGCATCCAGTGGTAATCAGCCAGCATCAGAAAGACAATGGGAGATTCAAGATCCTGGGATTGAGCTGAGGTGCAAAATATCATAATATTTTCAGGCCCTGACAATAAACTCTGGAGTAAGAGTATTTTAGGGAAATACAGGAAATCATGAACTCAATTCAGGCTGCCCAGTTCATTGGGCTGTCCAAGTGCCCTGCCAAAGGAATTCCTCCAAATAGCTAATTATATCCCTCACATCCAATCATTAATGCCAGACTCTGGGATCTATCCTGAGGACACTACAATGGATAAATCACAATCCTATACATTCCATAGGAACCTTTTTAAAAGAGAACTACAGTCACAATCATCACAAACCCAGAAACCCAATGTCACTGCAAAAACACAACCATACCACCCTAAACATAGGTTATTTTAATCAGAGCAAATGGAGTGTCCCTAACCTCCATTCTTGGCTTTCCTCTTACCTCCCTTGTCTAATACAATGCTAGTTTGATTATTGTTGGGAGTAAAGTTTCAGTGAATGTTTATGTGAAACTATTCGGGGAGACATGAACAAGCATCTGTTTACCCAGATAAGGAACCATGACAGATTAAAGTGCAGCTACAATCACAGTCCAACTTGGTGAACCATTGAGTTTTATTGGGGTTACAATAATATGAGTGAGAGGGTACTGATGGGAGCAGAAATGACTTAAAGATAGCTGTATCATCCCCAGCCCTGTGTAAGACCACTCACAGCACTGTATGAGACCACTTCTTGCTCTCTGACTTCACTCTTTGGGGCCTTTACTAAATCTCATGGCAGGCCCACGTTTTGTTCTTCTTATAGACCCTTCAGACCCCTATTCTCCTAGTCCATGTCCATTTTTATGCCAGCTTCCAATATCTAGAAATATATTCTACCTGGATCCTCCAGGGACCACCCCTGGCAAGGGACTCAGAATACTCCCTACCAGGAAAAACCATAGTCACACAATTTCCTCACATCTAGAGAGGGTGACAGAAACCAAGAACAGAGCTCTCAATCCAACAAAGACCAGATATCAACACCTACAGTCACAATCATCACAAACCCAGAAACCCAATGTCACTGCAAAAATACAACCATACCACCCTAAACAATATGTCTCATCAGAACCCAGCAATTCTTCTACAGTAGGCCCTGAAAAGCTATTAATACAGCAGAGGCACAAAACAAGCACTTCAAATAGCTATTATGAATATGCTCAAGGACCTCAAAGAGGATATGAATAAATAAATCCCTTAATGAAGTCTGTGAAAGCATACACAGTGGAAGGAAATGAAAGAAACAGTTCAAATACTGAAATAAATAGAATCTCTAAAGAAAACCTAAATTGAGGTAAAACTGGGGATGAAAATTTTAGGAAGTGAAAATCTCAGAGGTAAATCTCACCAACAGAGTACAAGACATATATCTTAGTTAGGGGTTCTGTTGCTGTGAAGAGACACCATGACCACAGTCACAATCATCACAAACCCAGAAACCCAATGTCATTGCAAAAACACAACCATACCACCCTAAACAATATGTCTCACCAGAACCCAGCAATTCTTCTACAGTAGGTCCTGAAAAGCCTACTGTTTGTTGTTTTTTTAAATTTATTTTAATTAGAAAGAAGATTATTTTACATGTCAATCCCAGGTCCCTCTCCCTCTCCTCATCTCCTGCCACCCCCCAACTAACACCCTACCTATCCCATACCCTTTCTGCTCCACAGGGAGGTTGAGGCCTTCCATAGGGTGTCTTCAGAGTCTGTCGTATCCTTTGGGATAGGGCCTAGGCCCACTCCCCTGTGTCTAGGCTCAGGGAGTAGCCCTCCATGTGGGATGGGTTCCCAAAGTGCATTCCTATGCTAGGGATAAGTACTGATCCACTACAAGGGGCCCCATAGATTTCTGAGGTCTCTGAACTGACACCCACATTCAGGGGGTCCTGATCAGTCCTATGCTGGTTTCCCAGCTATCAGTCTGGGAACCAAGAGTTCTCCCTTGTTCAGATCAGCTGTTTCTATGGGTTTCACCAG